GCGTGCTGTCCGGGGCGGGCGTGGTGCGGGGGCGCGTGTGGGGCTGCGTGTGCGCAGCCTGTGTGTGCGTGCGGTCGGCGAGCGAAAACCGGCCCCAGATGCCGGGCAGGCTGGCAGGAAACTTTTAAAATCACGACGGCTGTCCGCTGAGCGTGTTGCGTGTTCGGCCCTGGAAGCGAGTACCATGAGCTTTTCCCCCTCTAAATTCAGAATTTCCACAGCGGGTTTGTTTATTTCCTGCAATTAACACACACACACAGAGAGACATTTGTAAGAATTCGTCTGAGAACTGGAGAGCCACGGAACCACGTCTCCGAAAGTCATCCGTTGCTCACCGCCGTTCGTTTTCCCCGGCTGCACGAAGCTCCTCCACACCTCATTTTGCGCTAAAAAAATACGTGCGGGTCCCGCACGGTTCCTACCTCTCCAGCCACCCCCCCACCCCTAAACGCTTCCACAGCTCCCTGAATTGTCGTGGTGTTAACGTTAACACCGTCCCCATTTCTTACAGCGAGGGGCGGGTAAGGAAAGGTGTATCTGCGAAAGAAGAAAAAACAGACCCGAAGCCTCCTTCGTGTTCTCGGGAAACGTTTAGGATAAAATAAAACAAAATTATCGAGAGCATTTCGAGGCCGAAGTGAACGGCTGTGATTGTTTCCCAGGCCAACGTTAGGTGATGTCACGGATCTAATCGAAACGTTCTCAGCTTCTTCGTTATCAATATCTGCATACAATTTACAGTTTAATTGAAAATATTTCTTCTCCACGCGTTTAGTGGTTAGTTACGAAAGCAAACATCACCGCGGACGTAAGTCACTCCCTCGAGTTCGTAGGAAATTACAGCATCAAATTTTTCCTCGCGAAAGGCGCATAAAGCCAACGCCGAACCATTCGGAGAGCCCCGTGACACGCCGGCCCCTGCCGGGGTCCAATTTCGAACCTCAGAAAAGAGCGGCCGCAGATTCGCGCCCGCCTCCCCCAGCCCCACGCGCCTCTTTTCTGCTTAAAACACGTCGCTCCGCGAC